ATTTATTACGTTATATATACATATATATATATATTGCAGATCACTACAACAGGGCGGCCCTTGTTAGTCCTTGTTGACGTCACTGATGGCGCGACGGCATCGGTACGAACAGTAGCAAAAGCCCAGCACGATCACCATCACCAACGACGCAAACACAATCCAGCCAAATGGCGGCGGAATCATGTTGATCAGCGTCTACACATTGCACCAAAGTGATATATGTACAGTACATGGGACAAACATCAGTCACTCCATCCCACACACTAAGTCCGTACCAACAACACGTTCACCAATGGCCCCGCAAACACCAAGAAGGCCACAATGAGTGCACAAAACAAAAAACTCGAGCACGCCCCGTACGCTTTGGGGCCCAGCAACGATTCGATCAACGTCAACGGGTTGAATAGCGCCCTACATATATATATAATATCTCAGTGAATGATCAATATATATATATATATATATATATAGTCCACACAAGAATACACGTACGTCAAGTGCAAGCGGTCGGCGGGTTCAGCAAGCGTTGGGAACGCATTGGGTTCGCTGCGGCCGAGCCCCGCCGCCCGGACTTCCGCCTCCGGCTTCGGGATGATTTCAATGGCCAGGAGCAACTTGCCGGCTTCGACGCGCGTCTTTGTGTGTGGATCCACGGTCGTGCACGTCAGCCACGTGGCATCGTCTGGGTCGTCTCCCATGCCGATGCGGGACTTGAGTGCTTTAAGCATCATGTCGACGCTTTCCTTCTTGTCTTCCACCTTGGGCTGCCGTTGTTTCTCCACAACGCGCTGGGACGATTTGGTCGTTGCCGACAAACTCGACGCCCGGGTCAGCAACGCCGTCGACTCGCCCCCTCCTTCCAAATCGACACTGTCGTCCACCAGGGGCGACAACGCACCACTAAATTTGGACAACGATGGCTGGTTCAGCGGCGTCACCGCCGTGGAGGCGGCGGTGGACTTGAGCTTGACTGGCTTGGGCTTGGCATATACGTTCACGAGTTGCTTGGTTTTGTACGCGAGTTTCAACGACTCGGTCAAGTTGACGATCGTATCGCTCAAACAGTCGTCAAACAGCAAATCCTTGTCCCACAATTGCACGTGCAAGTGGCCTATCACCCACAAAACACGGTCAACTCTCTTACATGATGATATACATATCATGTCGAGAAGAATCAGATCGTTCGGCATATCATCATACGTCGGAAAAATGATATACGAGCATCCGAAGCAGAATCGACACGAAAGTCTCGTCTCAAGAATCAGACTCGTCCTCGGACCCGATACCTCAAGGATCAGACTCAGTATGTACATATCAAGAGTCAGACCCGTACGTACGTACGTACCCTTGTCCAGTTCGTTTTGAGGGTCCACGGGCAGGGCAATGTCAAACTTCATGCGCCAGTTGAACGAGGCTTTGCCGTTTTTGGCGCGCCAGTGGATGTCCGTGTGCTGCGCCTTGTCATTGTTGGACTGCATCCAGCACTTGACAAACAGGTCGCTCAACTCGGACAGCTCGTCGCCGGGCACGACGTCCTTGGCTTTGTAAATCACCACACGAACTTCAAACGTTTCGATGGGCGGCAGCGAAATGTCCACGGCCGGCGACGCCGTCGCTTCCACAGGCGTCAAAATATCCAGCCACAGCCGCAACGACCCCTGCGTGATCACACTCGACGGCGTGTACCTACTCGTTATATATGTATATATATTCTATTTTTCGAGATTGGGTGTTGTTTAGATGGTTTTTCCACGTACAGTTGGCGAGTTTCCACAGGTCGGAACGTGCCTTCCGACAAGTGGCCCAACGTGCGCCACCGGTCGTCAAACCACCGATCTTCCAGGTCGATCGTCGTCGCGCCAATGAAATCGTCGCCGCAATCCGCCGACAGCGCAAACAAGTCGTAGTCAAAGCATTCGATGGTCAACGCCTAGAAAAATTAATAGTTTTATATATTCATTTATCAATCACATCAAATCATGGATATATATTTATATATTCCTTTACGATCAATCCCATAAAATCAATACAATTCAATATAAATCTAAACAAAGTATTAACATTTTAGATATTTAATTAAAGGTCTAATTATTGATAGATTCATACAGACTCATTGGTGATAACGTTATACTACGTAGAATATCGTCATTTGTCAATCTTCCAATAGAATCATTTATAACTACGTAGTATCGATCAAATAGAACCAAATATACATTCATTTACTTCCTCTGTTCCAGGTTACTGCCGACATTTCAAAATTCGCATGTTCCAAGTTACTGGCGACATTTGCATTTCATTGGCTGTAATTCTTCAATTTCTATCAATATCGAACATTTATGACATTTCATTGGCTTACAATTGCTTTAAGTGCTGATTATAAACCAATCTTTTGCGAAAATTC